AGAAAACTTGCACGAACGCGATGTATGCTGACAAATGAGTAGCTGAAGTGTAGCAATTTTGGGTTGATTCAAAAGAACAGTCTATAAGTAGCAACTTTTAACAATTATTTTGAATAAGTCCTAGGGGAAGCAACATCTAAAAAAAACTTTATAAAGAACGCGGACTACATTGGATGGCCCCGGAAATGAAAACAGTGTGCTAACTCAGTGATGAGTTGTCTGTTTCCATGATCTCTATGGCCAGCTAACGCTGACCATGCTGTTCATTGCGAGACAAAGCAGCAGGGGGCGAACGGCTAGAACCATTTCAAGCTAGTCCGCCCTTCGTGGTTGGAGCAATTGCTGTGAGTCATAAAGGAAGAGAATCTGACGTGGCAAAAAAAGGGAGAAAGGTACCAAAAGCACAAGATGCAAGTTTGTTGGATCCTTGCCTGACTTTTTTTTATTTTTAGAAAATATACTTTATTCATAAAAATATCTTTATATACATAATCACTGAAGCAGTTCGGTTCTGTACAGAGGCCTATGAAGAAACACAAACATTGGACGTTGAATCTATCCAAAAAACAAACCAAAGGTATTTCTTACTTCTACAAGACTATATTTACATAGATTTAAGGCACAGGGTGAGGGTCCACTAACTGAACAGACCTCCATTTAAGACAACAAGGTGCAGGGCTGGATGAACACAGCAGGCCAAGCAGCATCATAGGAGCAGAGAGGCTTGGAGGGAGGAGGGTAACTTCTTCAGGTTAGGCATCCTTAGAAGAGGCTTCACAGTGGGGTTAAAATTGAATCAGAGATAGTAGGAACTGCAGATGCTGGAGAATCCGAGACAACAAGGTGCAGGGCTGGATGAACACAGCAGGCCAAGCAGCATCATAGGAGTAGACCTCCATTTAACTTTGGCAGGAAGACCTTAGACAGTGAGTTTTCCAAATGTGCCTTGGTGGCAGCTGCCCCAGGCTTTTGTGCATTCCTCAGCACATAGTTTGAATGTTGGAATCTGCCAGTCTGCAACAATTGGTTGAGGTCAACTCCTTGGTCCGGATGACCAACAAGTTTTGGGCAGACCAAACAGTGTCTTTCACCGAGTTGATGGTCCTCCAGATGAAGTCGATGTTTGGCTCAGCGTACGTCCCCGGGAACAGACTGTGGAACACAAAGTCCTGCCTCACAGAGCTGCTCGGGGATGAATCTCGAAAAAAAACCACTGCATCTTTCTGGAGATTTCCTTTGACAGTCTGCTTAGGGAACAACCTGACAGAATCCACCCTCTCATTTTCCTGCAGGGTCTTGAGGACGCTACGTGCTGACCACTTCCTGGTGGATTTGTGGTCAAAGATGTTTGTCTTTGCAAATTTCCGCATGAAGGACAGGTGATACAGAATGGTTCAACTACTTGGAGCGTTTTGCAGCATCGAGGCCAGACCCATCCTTTGCAGCACTAGGGATGGGTATAACCTCAGTATGTAGTGATGCTTAATGTTTGTGTACGGTGGGCCTCTGCACAGCTTGATGCAGCCACACACGAAGGTGGCCATCAGGATGAGGGTGGTGTTGGGTAAGTTTTTTCCTGCCCACCCCCCACCATTATCCAGCTCTTTGTACATGGTGTCCCTGTGGACACAGTTCATTTTAGACCTCCAGATGAAATGGAAGATGGCTTGGGTGACTGCAACAGTGTAGGTTCTGGGAATGGGCCAGACCTGCATCATGTATAACAACAGAGACAACTGATTACCAGGTTTTTATCCACAATGGAGAGGCAGCAGTGGTCCCAAAAGCCCAGTGTCTGCCTCACCTTGCCGATGCACTCCTCCCAAGTTTTTGTGCATGCCCCCGCCTGTCCAAACCATATTCCCAGCACCTTCAGGTAATCTGTCCTGATGGTGAAGGGAATAAAGTATCAGTCAGCCCAGTTTCCAAAAAACATGGCCTCGCTCTTGCCTCAATTTACCTTGGCTCTTGTTTTAATTTCTATAATACTGACCATCCTTGGAACTCCCAATTTTGAAGCTATGACCTGTAGTTGAGCTGAAAACCACCCTTAAATGATAGTCATAGATACTGATAATTGGAACATTCTCAGGTAACAACAACTACTTAAGAGAGATCTATTCAGCTGGTCCTGCACTTTTCCAGCAGAGAGAGACTCATGCTTACCGCAAGATTTGGAGGACTTTTCTTTCTACTGACCAAATGTCTTGGAAAAACATAAATCAAGACTAGTGTTGCGCAGCAACCTTCAGACATAGGC